ATATATATATACGTTTATTATAGTGTACAATATTACGGTCACCTCCTGCGCTTCTGTGCCCCAGAGACGTGACCTGCCGTGTAGCTGCTCTTGCGCCAGTCCTCGTAGTCTGTCACGGCCAGCTCCTTCTTCACCACCACTGTGCATGAATCGCAATAGAACACGCTTCAGCAGACAATATGTGTACCAGTGACTTACCTACCACCACCTGATATCAGATCTCACAGAACTCAATGTAGTATTGGAAAATATTCAAAGTACATATCATTCCACAATCATCAGCGTCACCTGGGTGCTAGGATTAACGCTTTGCCCTTAGGTGTGTGACGCCCCGTGAGCAGAGATACAGTACCAACCAGCACACGCTACACCCACAGGACGAAACAGACAGACAGCCCAGCGTAACTAGTTGGTCTCCACTTCGAATCACTATACACGTCAACATGTTATGCTCTAAGTACAAGCAGAATACACATATGTACATATCCAGATACACAGACAACTTTACCTAGCCATGTATATAGCACACATGAAGATACGCCTACAACTCTACATAGCCATGTATATAAACACACATATAGATAAAAAGACTACGTAATTATGTATATAAGCACACATACAGATACACATACACTATTACATAGCCATGTATATAAGCACATATACAAAGACACCTCTACATAGCCATGTACATAAGCACATATACAAAGACACCTCTACATAACCATTTACATACGTACATATACAAAGACACCTCTACATAACCATATACAAAGACACATACATCGTCTCTCGACATCGGAGAGTTTGCGCATCAACAGAGACATATCGCCCTGTCGGCTGTGGTCCGTTAAGATGATCTTGCGGAACCTTGTCAGTAGAGTCTGTGCCAAGAGGAAGATTCACAGAGACGGATGAGGTTCAAATATCATGACTTTAGGGCTATAGTATGAGGCGAAACTGTATAGAACGTATATGGACTGTAGGACTATAGTATGAGGTAAAACTGTATAAAACGTATATGGACAATGGGACTATAGTATGCGAAACTGTATAGAACGTACTGGAGAATAGGACTATAGTATGAGGTGAAACTGTATAAAACGTATATGGACAATTAATACGAGGTGAAACTGTATAAAACGTATATGGACAAGGGAATTTGTCAGTGCACATACAGTTCTCCCGTTTGCAATGAAATATTGGGGTCTGGTCCTAAAACCGACTGCACAAACCGAAACGTGATCTGGATCATAGGATTGAGTTTCGTTAATATGCGTACGGGATTGAGAATCAGGAATTCGGAGGTAGGTATGTGTATCAGGAATTCAGAGGTAGGTATGTGTATCAGTAATTCGGAGGTAGGTATGTGTATCAGGAATTCGGAGGTAGGTATGTGTATCAGCAATTCGGAGGAAGGTATGTGTATCAGCAATTCGGAGGTAGGTATGTGTTGGGAGGTGTGGATAAACATGTGATACGTAGACAGACTTTGTTGTGCTCCTGTGTGCTCCTGCGTGTTGTGTAATTTCGCGGATGTTTGCCATCACTCCCACTCACTGTACATACTCGTATAGTAGTAAATAAGAAGCAATCAGCCTGGGTGGTTCCGTCATTCGCCTAATTTACTACAGAAGTATATATATA